GCTATTATCGAGAAATTGGTCTTTGAGTTATTAAATTCTGGGTTGATTAGAACCAGTATCAGTCCTTATTCTTGTCCCCTAATTCTGGTAAGGAAAAAGGATGGGAGTTGGAGAGCTTGTGTTGACTATAGATCTTTAAATAAGATCACTGTGCCTGACCGGTTTCCTATTCCTGTTATTGAGGAGTTGCTAGATGAATTGGGAGGGGCAAGCGTGTTTTCCAAGTTGGACCTTAAATCAGGGTTCCATCAGATCAGGATGAAAGAAGATGACATCCCAAAGACGGCTTTCAGAACACATGAAGGTCATTATGAGTACTTGGTGATGCCATTTGGGCTCACCAATGCTCCCTCTACTTTCAATTCATTGATGAATGAAATTCTGAAACCGTTCCTTCGTAAATTTGTGCTAGTTTTTTTTGATGATATTCTCATTTATAGCTGCAGCAGACAGGAGCATATGGGGCACTTGAAATCAGTATTTGAGGCATTAAGAAATCACCAGTTGGTGGCCAACTGCAAGAAATGCTGCTTTGCTTTACATCAAGTAGAGTACTTAGGCCATATCATATCCTCCGAGGGTGTGAGTGCTGATCCAAAGAAGGTGGAAGCGATGTTGCAATGGCCACTCCCAAAAGATGTTAAAGGACTGAGGGGATTTTTGGGGCTAACCGGTTATTACCGTAAGTTCGTAAAAGATTATGGCAAGATAGCCAAGCCACTGACGGACTTGTTGAAAAAGGACAGCTTCCTTTGGAGTGAGCAGTCTCAATTGGCTTTTGAATAGCTCAAGTCAGCTATGTGTACTGTACTAGTGTTTGCACCCCCGGATTTTGACAAACCCTTTACAGTAGTAACTGATGCTTCCGGACGTGGAGTAGGTGCGGTGTTGATGCAAGAAGGGCGTCCCATCAGTTTCCTGAGTCAAGGTTTTTCCTTGAGAGCTCAAGAAAAGTCCATTTATGAAAAAGAGCTTATGGCTATAGTGTTCGCTGTTCAAAAATGGCGGCCCTATTTGTTGGGCCGGCATTTCATTATTAAATCTGATCAAAGGAGCCTTAAGTTCTTGACAGAGCAACGGGTACTGAACGAAGAACAGCAAAAATGGGTAACCAAATTACTTGGTTATGATTTTGAAATTCAGTATCAACCCGGGAAGAAAAATGTTGTAGCGGATGCACTCTCTCGCCAGTTGCAATTTTCTGCTCTGATTTGTGTGGCCCCTGTGGGTTGTGATGAACTAGAGGCTGAACTGCAAGCTGATGAAAAGTTGCGCACGGTTATGATGGAAGTATTGACAGACAAGAACAAGCACCCAGATTTCTCAATGAGTTGTGGCAGGTTATTTTTTAAGGGAAGGTTAGTTTTGTCTAAACATTCCAGATTTATTCCTAATATTCTAGAAGAGCTTCATAAATAACTCTTGTGTGGGCGGGCATTCAGGATTTTGCGCACATACAAAAGAATTGCTGCAGTGGTGTATTGGGAAGGAATGAGGAAGCAAATTAAGGATTATGTGGCATCTTGTGTAAGCTGCCAACAAAATAAGTGTCAGAACCTGTCTCCCACGGGTTTGTTACAACTCCTGCCTATTCCCCAACAAGTTTGGGTTGACATTTCGATGGATTTTGTGGGAGGATTACCCAAAGCTCATGGGGTCGACACTATTTTGCTCGTTGTGGATCGTTTGTCCAAGTACGCTCACTTTATAGCTTTGGCTCACCCTTTTACTGCTAAGGAGGTGGCTTTGGTTTTTATCAAAGAGGTGGTGCGTCTTCACGGGTTCCCTGCTTCCATTGTAAGTGATAGGGACAAGATTTTCTTAAGCTCTTTTTGGACTGAACTTTTTAAATGTTCTGGCACTAAGCTCAAGTATAGTACGACATATCACCCACAGTCCAATGGCCAAACGGAGGTGGTCAATCGCTGCTTGGAGACTTCTTGAGATGTTTCTGCTGCCCAAAGCCTAAAACTTGGCCCCATTGGTTACATTGGGCTGAGTTTTGGTACAATACTACTCATAAAGATTCTACTGGCACTACCCCTTTTAAGGTGCTCTACGGCTGTGATCCACCATTTTGGTTACACTCTTATTTTGCTAACTCCCCTAATGATGAGGTGTCCAGGTTGCTGAATGACAGGGATGTTATTTTACAAGATTTAAGACAACACTTGCTTGAGGCCCAGAATCGGATGAAACAACAAGCTGACCAACATAGGAGAGATGTGGAATTTCTGGTTGGAGACTGGGTTTACTTGAAATTGCAACCTTATAGGTTGAAGTCATTGGCTAGAAAAATCAATGAGAAACTCAGCCCACGCTTTAATGGTCCTTTTTCCGTAATAAAACGCGTGGGAATGACGGCTTATCACTTGCAATTACCCCCTGAGAGTAAAGTGCATCCCGTGTTTCATGTTTCTCTTCTCAAGAAGGCTGTTTCACCATCTACTTTAGTACAACCTTTGCCATCAATGTTGAATGAGGAGTTCGAATTACTAGTACAGCCTGAGACCGTATTGGAGTGGAGACAGAATGCTGCTGGACGTACGGAGGTTTTAATCAAATGGTCACAATTGCCAGCCTTTGAAAATTCTTGGGAAGATTCCGCTAGACTTAACCAGAACTTTCCAGATTTTCACCTTGGGGACAAGGTGAGAGTGTTGGGGGGGAGTATTGATACGGTGAGTCCCAAAGTTTACTCTAGGAGGTGTCACAGGGGATTATTAAGAGTAAGTGACTCAGCAAAGGAGATTCTAGAAGGGAATTCTGTTAGAATTGGAGGCCAAGAGAGAGAAAGGAAGCATGACGTGGCTAGTGGGAAGTTGGTTATTTGAAGCATGGCGTGAAGGGAAGAAAGCATGGGGAAATTAGATTGGAAACTGGGAGAGAATCAACACCTCTCAAATTGTGTTGAATTATATTTCTTATTAGTGTTTTCTTAGTTAGATATTTACATTTCCAGTATTGTAATTTCCTTCAATCAATATAAGAAAACCCAGAAGTTGTTGCTTCTGGACCAAATTGCTGTTGTTCTTGCATTTAATGTCATATTCTGAGCCAGTTGTATCAGAATAATACATGGAAAGTCGTTGACAGGCCAAATGGAAAAAGGGCAGTAGGATGCAGATGGGTATATACTCCGAAATATAATTCTGATGGGACTCTTGAAAGGTATAAAGCTCGACTGGTTGCCAAGGGATACACACAGACCTATGGCATTGATTACGAAGAAACATTTGCCCCAGTGGCCAAAATGAACTCTGTAAGAGTTCTATTGTCCCTTGCTGCTCATTCTAATTGGGATTTGAGACAATTTGATGAAAAAAATGCCTTCCTCAATGGCAAATTAGAAGAAGAGGTTTACATGGAGATTCCGCTAGGATTTAACTCCACAAATGGAGAAAACAAAGTTTGCAGGTTAAAGAAGGCATTGTATGGCTTGAAGCAATCCCCACGTGCTTGGTTTGGAAGATTTACAAAAGTTATGCTTTCATTGGGGTACAGACAAAGTCAAGGAGATCATACACTTTTCTTTAAACATTCTCAAGAAGGTAAGCTCACTATCCTTCTTGTGAAGGTAAGCTCACTATCCTTCTTGTTTATGTTGATGACATTATTATAACAGGGGATGATTTAGATGAGAAGCATGCTCTGCAAGAAAGATTGACTGCTGAATTTGAAGTTAAAGACCTTGGAAAACTGAGGTATTTTCTTGGGATAGAAGTTGCTCATTCAAAGCAAGGTATCTTTATTTGTCCACGGAAGTATGTTCTTGATCTCCTTAAGGAAACAGGAAAACTTGGGTGTAAACCTTCCAGTACTCCAATTGAGCAGAATCACAAACTAGGGAGTGAGAATGAGAGTCCTTCAGTTAACAAAGGACAATACCAACGTATAGTGGGGAGATTGATATACCTTGCTCACACTAGACCTGATCTAGCTTATGCAGTCAGTATTGTTAGTCAATTCATGCATGATTCGAGGGAAAAACATCTGCAGGATGTGGATAGGTTTCTCCAATATCTAAAAGGCACACCAGGCAGAGGACTATTATTCCAGAGAGGAGGAAACTTATCCTTAGAAGTGTATACAGACGCAGATTATGCTGGATCCGTAACAGACCGACGATCTACCTCAGGCTATTGTATGTTTCTCCGTGGAAATCTCATAACATGGAGAAGTAAAAAGCAAAATGTGGTTGCTAGGTCGAGTGCAGAAGCAGAATTTCGAGCCATGACTCAAGGTATCTGTGAGTTGTTATGGCTGAAAATCATTCTAGATGATCTAAATGTGAGGTGTGAAGGACCTATGAAGTTACTCTGTGATAACAAGTCAGCTATATGTATAGCCCACAATACAGTCCAACATGACTGCACCAAACATATTGAGATTGATCGCCACTTCATCAAGGAGAAACTGGATAGTGGACTAATCACTACTCCATATATTCCGTCTAGTTGTCAATTGGCTGATGTCTTGACTAAGGGTCTTCCCAATGAAAGGTTTCAAGAGCTTACTAGCATGCTGGGAATGATAAATATCCATTCCTCAGCTTGAGGGAGAGTATTGTGAATACTAGAATTAGTTTTATTATTTTGTATTTTTGTAATAGTCAGTATTTGGGCTTAGCCCAGTAGGTTTCTTTATTCTCATTAAATAGAGAACTCTTGTACAGTTAATTTATAATTTTATAATACAAAAATATTTCTTTCAATTCTGTGTCTTCCTTTTTGTGGGCGGGTGACTTCTAAGGCAGTAGCATTGGTTAATGTCTTGCAGTGATATGGCAGTTATGTGTGAGCCACTTGTAACCATGAATAAAGACTTCGATAAATAAAATACTATAAACTTTCATTATGCTGTGAAGTTATAAAATTTGCAGTAAATGATAGAACAACTTGCTAGCAGTTCTGGGCACATTTTTATGTATGCATGTTTCCTCAGGTTACGATATGCATTTCATTACTCTCTGAATCTTCCTTTCTATTTTGTGATATATAACAACTGTTTACAGCAAGTTCCTGAAGAGATTGAAAGAGTGATGGTTGGTGTAGAAGCTTACTTGAGCATCAGAAAGCATACTTCTGATGCTGGTTTATCCTTTTTTGAGAATGATGATGAAAACGAGAGGGGTCTTGGTGACAAGGTTGGCTTCTGTTTAGCTTATACTTTATTACAAGATCTCTGTCTGTCCTTTGAGTAACATATTATTGTTTCTCCTGAATATAGCTTTTTTCCGCCTCTGATGAACGAGGTCTTACTTGCTATTGTGCATTTAGTGAAGGCATAACAGTAATTCAGAAATTTATTGAACTTTTATATAATTTTGTCTTTGGTTATGAATATTATACCTACCCTCTGTAGAATATTGTAAAGAACCAATTCAACTCAAAAGCTTAAGTTGTTGGGTGAAGGCTTTTTTCAATTGTTTATACTATTCTCTAACAAATATCTTAGATGGGAAGTAAAGGTTAGGGTTTGAATTACGTCACATTCAGATTTATGAATGTACCTGCCTAGACGGGGGAGGACTATAAATGAAAGCTCCCACTCTTAGGTAGTTTACAGTACAGGACGATTGTGGACTTGAGGCTGGGCCTAAAAGATTTTCATTTAGGAACACTATTGAATAGTATTTTTTATCATGTATTTATTGTGTATATCTATTTAGCCCATGGGATCAGATAAGTATAGATAGGATAAGAAGCAAAACTCTATTAGCACTTTGCCCCACCACCCTCTGCTGCCCTCTTAGCCACTATCACGGCTACTGCCTTTTTGGGTTTCAACTGAGGTAGAATCGAAATGGAAATAACTTTATGCTATCATATGTTTATCACACCAAGCAATGGATAGTTAAGAGTTGCAGGCCTTCAGTTCCGTATTGTATCTGGCCTTAATGCCCTGTCTTATATTCTTATAGTATTCTATCTTATCCTATCCTGTTTGATTCATCAAATGAGGCCAAGGGAAGTGATCTTGGATTAAATTTCTATTAGCGTTTTTCTTCAACTGAATACTTTTTCCGTGGTTTACAGGCCAAATAAATCCTTATATTTTCATTCATATTTAGTTGTAGTTTTTTAACTTTTTTTTAATGGACTCCCTATCTCCACAGTATATTTTCTCATTCCTCTTTATGAACTCTCTCTCATATATCAAATAAACGCTACATTTTGAAGGAGCAAAAGCTAAAGGCTAGGACGCTTCAAAAGATAAACAGTGTCTGTCAAACACATGATGGACACTTGTGTCGAACACAATACTTCAAATGTGTTTGTCTTGTGTCTCATGTCTGCCCTGCTCAGAGCAGAAGTGTTTAACTTGAGCTTCATTTTTTCAAATTCTTAAATCAATCAAGGCTTGTTTCTTTAAACAGTTGGAAAAAGATCCATGGTGTAACATTGGCAGCTTAAAATCCCTTTTTCTTGTAACTAAAGTAAAATTTTGTGTTTATCTTTATTTATGCCCCCTTTTTAAAGTTTTTTAGTGTGTGTGTGAAAGTGTTTGTTTTTCTAACATTTGACTGCTATTTTCCAGGATTTTTTGGAAGACTTATGGGATAGAATACAGCTTTTATCTAACAATGGCTGGAAAGTTGAAAGTGGTAATTTTCTCTTTTCTTCTTGGAAAACATAGTAGTGTAGTGGATGCTTACTATACCTTTATCAAAAAATAAAATCCTTTACCATTTTTCACTTTGTCTTCCTGTGATTTCAGGGCATTTTATCCTTATATAACGTGTTCATGTTGTGTGTATTATACCTAATGTTGTTAAGTTTACCGAATGTCATGTAGTAAATCTTCAGTTTAGCTAATATCTACATTAAAATGTCAAGACAGAGCCAAACTATTTACATCTTAGTGTATTTATTATGCTGAAGTTTGTTCATATATAAAACTTTTGTCATTTTTTGGGAAATTGGATGCAGCTCATTGCCGACGGTCTTTACATCCATTATAGTTTTTGGTCTGGCATCTTCAAGTTTTACCAGTGTGTGCTAGTGTGGTTAATCAAATTCACAACTATATAGGAATATACTTCTTCCGATGCATTATTGTTTTATGAATTATGTCACTATATAATATGTATCAGGTTAAGAAAGAAAAAAAAAAATATGGTTGACCTAATCTGACAACTGCATTTTCTTCAAATATCTTTAGGCTAACTTGAAGCCATGAATTTCTTTTCCCTCTTTTTGTGACTTTCCGCCTACTTGATTGTTAGACTGTCTTGGTTTCCGTCGATGCAATGCATGGAATATAAAGATTTCCTTGCCCTTTATACATATTGTTAGAATATTAGATATGATATGATTAGATTTGATTAGATATGATTCGATTCTGTCTTATCCGTAAATAGTCTGACTGTATTCTGACTGTATTAGAATTAGGTTTGGATTAGGTTTGGGCCTTACACTTAAGCCCATTAGGGTCTCTATATATTGTAACTCCCTGACACAGATCAATACACAACGTATTCTCTTACATTTAACTTGGTATCAGAGCTATTTCGTTCTGGGAACCCTCGCTTCCGCTTAGAAATCTTGTTCTTCGCTTTAAAACCTAAGCCCACTGCTTAGGATTCATCTTTTCTTTGCCGTGCGTCCTTCCGGTAAGATATCAAAGGCTGTAAGTCCTCTCCAGGCATCTTCTGCACGTGTCCACATCCCCAAACAGTCACCGGAGCACCATCAGCCACTGTCAGCCACTGTTCAGGCTGCCGGAGTACTTTTCCGGCGAGTTTTCAGTCTGGAACGAACGCGAACAGAACCCTCTCCTCCCGGCGACCTGCTCTGTGGAATACCGGCCACCATCGGAGTTGTCACGCGCTCTCACGCGCCTCCAGTCTTCTCTGCGCGTGGGCTTCACGCGCCACCTTCTGCCGGCGCGTGAGCACTATTCCGGCGGTTTTTTCCGGCCGGTCTTGGACAGAGAAGCTCGTCTTCTCCTCCTCTTTCTGGATCTGTGGTTGGTTCTTTGTGGGTCTGACTTTTTGTGCGCACCTCTTCTTGATTGGTGATCAGGTTCGTTTCTCTTTATTCGGTTTGTATCTTTGTGATTTGATACTATGGCAGCAAACCCTCCAATTCATTCGGAGGTCAAGTCTCCATCTCCTCCTTTGAGAAATTCTCCAAATATCATCTCTACCAATATTGGGTCCATTACCTCTTCAAAATTGAAGGGATCTGTTAATTACAAGAACTGGGCCACCTCTGTTCGAGTTTGGTTCTTTGGACAAGGATATGGGAACCATCTCACAACTAAGTCTACTGATGTCCCTAAGGAGGACAAGTCTGATTGGGAAAAGATTGACAACCAGCTTCTGAGTATCCTCTGGCAATCCATTGATCCGATTGTCTTGGATATCTTTTATTCATTTCAAACCTGCACTGAAGTGTGGGAGGAAGCAAAAAACCTCTACACTAATGATGTTCAGCAACTCTATTTCATCATCTCTCAGTTTATGGAATTGAGCAAATCATCCGACATTCAGATGGAGACATATATTGGCAAGAGTCGCTCTTTGATGCAGGCATATTTGGATATGCTGCCTTACCCTACTGATGCTACTGCATATCGGAAACAGGTGGAACGTCTCTTTATGGTTGCCACACTTTCTGGCCTTCCCGAAGAATATGATAATGTTCGTGATACTATCTTGACTAGTGGGGAGCCTGATCTATCCATGACGTATCAGCGTCTTCTGAATTTGAATAAGAAATCTGCTCCTGCATCGTCTTCTGCTGTTGATTCTACTGCTCTAGTTTCCCGTACTGATTTTCGCGGGCATATTGGAGGTGGACGTGGTCGTGGTAGAGGCCCAGGAGGCCGGGGCCCAGGAGGACGTAGCCCAGGAGGTCGTGGCCCAGGAGGCCCAGGAGGTCCAGTCGGACGTGGTCAGCGACCTCGTTGTCATTACTGTCAGCAACTTGGTCATTATGAGGAACGCTGCTACACCAAGTATCCTCATATGCGACCTTCTTTTGCTGCTAATGTAGCTCAATCGGATACTGCTTCAAATGGTTCAGTCTCTCTCTCCTCTGAAGAATATGCAGCATTCCAGGCCCTTCTCAGGAAGTCCTCTCCTCAATCTCAGGCCTCTGCTTCAGAAACTGGTAATCCTGTTGCTTGTGTTTCTCATTCTGCATCACTTGGTCCTTGGATATTTGACTCAGGTGCTACTGATCACCTCTGTGGTAATAAGGAACTCTTTTCTTCCCTTACATATTCTAATAATTTACCCTCTTTTACTCTTGCTGATGGAACTAAGGCCCCCGTTCATGGGATTGGACAAATCTGTCCAACCTCCTCATTGACCTTGACATATGTCTATTACATTCCTCACATCCCTTATAATTTAATATCGGTTAGTAAATTGATCAATTCTCTTAATTGTATTGTCACATTCTCAAACCATTCTGTTTCTGTGCAGGACCCGGGTACGGGGAAGATGATTGGAGTGGGCCGTGAGTCACGGGGTCTGTTCTACCTTGATGTTCCGAGTCCTTCAGTTGCTTGTTCTCTCACAGAGTCTCCACAGCTCATCCACAGTCGTCTCGGGCATCCTAGTCTTGCGAAATTGCAGAAGATGGTTCCTCTTTTATCCGGTCTTCAAACTTTAGATTGTCAGTCATGTCAGCAAGGAAAGCACATACGCTCCTCCTTTGCTAATCGAGTCAATAAACGAGCTGATGCTCCTTTTTCAATTATTCATTCAGATGTTTGGGGTCCTAGTCGTAGTGTGTCTATTTTAGGTTTTCGGTATTTTGTCACCTTTATTGATGATTTCTCCCGTTGTACTTGGATTTATTTAATGAAAAACCGTTCTGAGTTGTTTTCTATTTATCAAAAGTTTTCTGCTGAAATTCATACTCAATTTGGTGCTTCTATTCGTATTTTACGTAGTGATAATGCTAAGGAGTATGTTTCTGTTGACTTTTCTCACTTCTTAGCCACACAGGGTACTTTACACCAAACCACTTGTCCTCACACTCCACAACAAAATGGAGTAGCTGAACGTAAGAATAGACATCTCATTGAGATTGCCAGGACTCTTCTTATTCACACGCATGTTCCTCTTCACTTCTGGGCTGATGCAGTCCTTGCTTCTTGCTTTCTCATCAACCGCATGCCTTCATCTGTGCTTAATAATGATATTCCTCATAACTTATTGTTTCCAGATGTTCCTCTCTTTCCTCTATCCCCACATGTTTTTGGTTGTACCTGTTTTGTTCATGATCTCACTCCTGGTAAGGATAAGTTAACATCCAAAGCCTTTAAATGCATTTTTCTTGGTTATTATCGTCTTCAAAAGGGTTATCGCTGTTACTCTCCTGACCTCAAGCGTTACTTAGTTTCCGCGGATGTCACCTTTTTTGATCAACAACCCTTTAATTCTATCCCATCTCCATTGTCACAGGTTGATCATGTTCTTCCTGTTCCTTTTCTTGACTTGTCTTTGCCAGATGCAGGTGCTTCTACTCCAGATAAGCCATCACCTATTGCTCCAGTACCTAAGGACCGTCCACTTCTCACTTATCAGCGTCGTAAGACAGTACCTCCAGTCGACTCGACCCCTGCTGACTCATTGCCCTCTGCAGTTGATTCTTCCCCTCCGGATCCTTCACCAGAGGCTCTTCCCATTACTCAAAGAAAAGGTACACGTACTACTCGTAACCCTTATCCTCTTTATACCTTCTTGAGCTATGATCGCCTTTCTCCTCCTCATTTCACCTTTGTTTCTAGTCTTTCTTCTATTTCTATTCCTAAGACCACATGAGAAGCACTTTCCCATCCAGGATGGCGCCAAGCGATGCGTGATGAGATGACCGCACTTCATACCAATGGCACTTGGGACCTTGTTTCTGCTCCTCCAGAGAAGTCTATAGTTGGTTGTCGCTGGGTGTTTACTGTGAAAGTTGGACCTGATGGCCATGTTGATCATCTCATCAAGGCACGCCTAGTTGCCAAGGGTTTTACTCAAATCTTTGGCCTTGATTATAGCGATACATTCTCTCCAGTCGCTAAGATGGCGTCCGTCCGCCTATTTCTTGCCCTTGCTGCTGTTCGTCACTGGCCACTCCTTCAACTTGACATCAAAAATGCCTTTCTTCATGGTGATTTACAAGAAGAAGTTTACGTGGAGCAACCACCTGGTTTTGTTGCTCAGGGGGAGTCTGGGAAGGTATGTCGTCTTCGAAAATCCTTATATGGTCTCAAGCAGTCTCCTCGAGCATGGTTCAGTCGCTTCAGTTCTATTGTACAGGCGTTTGGCCTAATTCGCAGTAAAGTTGACCATTCTGTATTCTATAGGATTACATCTCCTAACAAGTGCATCTATTTGTTAGTCTATGTTGATGACATCATCCTCACCGGAAGTGATCAAGACGGAATCCATCAGTTAAAACAACATTTATTCAGTGCATTTCAAACAAAGGACCTTGGGAAGCTGCGTTACTTCCTTGGAATTGAGGTGGCGCAATCTAGACAGGGCATTTCTATCTGTCAAAGGAAGTATGCCTTGGATATCCTAGAGGAGACTGGTATGTTGGGGTGTAAACCAGTTGATACACCCATGGATCCTAATGTTAAGTTATTGCCCAGACAGGGGGAGCCGTTATCTGATCCTGGACGTCATCGAAGGCTGATTGGGAAGCTCAATTATCTTACTGTGACTAGGCCAGATATTTCTTTCGCTGTCAATACGGCCAGTCAGTTCCTTGATTCCCCTTGTGATTCACATTGGGATGCTGCTGCGAGGATCCTCCGATATATCAAAGGAGCACCAGGAAAAGGTTTGTTGTATTCGGATCAGGGAAATACAGAAATTTGTGGTTACTCAGATGCCGATTGGGCAGGATCACCCTCGGACAGACGCTCTACTTCTGGTTATTGTGTCTTCTTCGGAGGAAACTTAATCTCATGGAAAAGCAAGAAACAACCTGTTGTTTCCCGATCTAGTGCAGAAGCTGAGTATCGTGCAATGGCAAATACTACCTGTGAGTTGATTTGGTTAAAGCAGTTGATTCAGGAGCTTCATCTTTGTGAACAGAAACAACCCATGACACTCATCTGTGATAATCAAGCTGCGCTACATATATCCTCTAATCCTGTTTTTCATGAGAGGACCAAACATATAGAGATTGATTGTCACTTCATTCGGGAAAAGATTCAGTCAGGAGAAATCAAGACAGCTTTTGTCAACTCGTCTAATCAACTAGCAAATGTTTTCACTAAAGCTCTTAGAGGTCCTCGGGTTGAATACATTTGTAACAAGCTTGGTGCTCATAATATATACGCACCAGCTTGAGGGGGAGTGTTAGAATATTAGATATGATATGATTAGATTTGATTAGATATGATTCGATTCTGTCTTATCCGTAAATAGTCTGACTGTATTCTGACTGTATTAGGATTAGGTTTGGATTAGGTTTGGGCCTTACACTTAAGCCCATTAGGGTCTCTATATATTGTAACTCCCTGACACAGATCAATACACAACGTATTCTCTTACATTTAACTCATGTAGAGCAGATAATTCATGTGCAGTTAACTTCCCAACAAAATCATGTAACTTATGTTTTCTTGCGAGTTAGTTATTTGGGAATCTTTAGCCAGAGATAGCGTTAGGCACTTTGGCTCGAGACAACTCTCAATAAGGAGAAAAGGGTATATTCCAGAAGGAATAAATTGTAAATGGTTAATTAGTTACAAGGGGTTTCAATAGAAGTGAGAAGGTTAGGTGTGTAGTAAAATAGGAGAAATTGTAATTTTGAGGATCATCTTGGAGGGTAACGTGAAACCGAGCTCGTTCTCGGTTGTAAAGGGGTTTCCCCTTGGAAAGTGGATTCCTCCTCTAGTTTTCCTATCTTTTCAATAACAGAATACCCTTCTTTCAATCCCTCCTTTTCTCTTCTTTCCTTACTTTCCTATAGTTTTGGACAGCAATCATTCTAGGACCATAACAGTTTTTTTAGCTTGGGAACCATAACAGAATGGGTTACAGCAAGGAGCAGCTGGACCTCATCTGTAGGCTTTGTAGCCAAATCGCAGGGGATTGGATATGCAGGACCAAGAAACAAGGGAACTTGCAAGTCCCTTCTCACGAATATGTCAAGTGAAGGGTGGAAGGTCGTCATTTTCAATGTGGACTACCATTTCCCCCCTCTCATAAATGCCCAGAGAAGAGCATTAGTGTCACAATTTTTACAGAGGATGAAGGCTTGGATGGTGATGGGGAGATTGCTGTACCAGAAATTCAAGAGCAAGAGGCATGTGATGATACAGAAGCCTTCCCAAAAACTTCCTGTCAGTGGCTAGATTTGTTCTTGTTTTTAGCTGGGGGAATGACACAACACATGGCAATGAAATTCAGAGCTTTGGTAAGAGATGTAACTGCCATGATTTTTATTGCCCATAGATTTGTGCAGAAATTAGGCTCGAAGGTTTCACCTATGCCCTCCTTTGGGGTTAGTTTAGGAGATAGCTATAGGAGTGAATCTGCTTTTGAGGTTAATAGTGCAAGGGGAAGATTACGCCCTCGCCGGTGATTTTTATTTGTTTGAATTTGAACAGGGAGGATTTGACTTGATCTGTTGATCTTTGGGGTGGCTTGGTTGGAGACATTGGGAGAGGTTGATAGGTATCAGGTATAAAAAGAAGAAATAAGGAATTCAAATACTGCAACTGATATTAATTTCTATTGACATCAAACAGAATCAGTATGAAATACACTGGATTGTCACAAAACCTCAAGTAGATTCAGAGCAATTCGTGAAGCTCTGATTTTTCCCAAGTCCAAGTCTAGTCCCAGCCTTCCCTCCTGGGATCCTCCTCTCTATTTAAGCTTCTTGCATGCCTCTTGTGGTGTGACTTTCGCTTGCTCATCGTTTCCCCTAATTGCATGGTGTGCATTTCCTCTAACCGTTTGGCACAAATCCTAAAGTGTTGCCTTCTAATTACTTTTCTGCTGATTCAGCATTTGAGTGGTTACCTATATTGCCCCTAAGCTTCCTTCTAGAATAATTTTAGAGGGGTGGGGACGTATCAGAGGTAAAGGTCAATTGGATGCATGATGGATGAACATCTTACTCACATAGATATACATCTTATGTACCCAATCAAAGAATAGATAGCAAGAGGGTGTGTGCTGTTGTTTTCTGAGAAAGCAAGTATATGTTGCAGTTCTCAAATATCTTAATGGCATTTTACTTTTTAATTAGTACCTTCTTTTGACTTTTAATGCCTTGCATTACTTTAAGATTTCTCTTTCGAATACACTCTTACTCTAGGGTGATGTGAGGCTAGTATGACAAAATCATGTTCTTTATTGTGGTAAGCTTCAAGGATTGTTTGCTTAGAAATAAACATTAACTGGAAGCTTATGATATCTAATCTAACCTTATTATTGTGGATAATTTATTCATTTGACTTATCTTTTTCCTTTCCTTCTCTGGTTATATTTTTTCATGTAATACGCATCACTTTTGTTTACCTTTATTTCCTTGTGTTTTATTCCCTGCTTGATTATGTTTATTGTTTCCTTTGTTAGTTCCAAGACCTCATCTTTCATTTGAAGCTCAGCTGGTTGCTGGGAAGTCCCATGACTTTTTGCCAGTAAGCTGTCCCAACTTACCAAACCCGCCTTCTGTCCCTTCTGGCATTTCTATTGGTAAACAAAAGCATGAGGCAGAATTAAAATATCCTCAAAGGATACACCGGCTTGACATATTTCCTTCCAGTAAAACTGAGGTGATTGGCTTTCCATATGATATTGGTTTGGTGTGTTTGCACTGATTTCCGTTCTTTTAATCTTTTTTATGGTAAATTGTTTTTATATACCATTTGACTGGGATTATATTAATCAGTATGTGACCCTCGGTTTTCCCCTTTTATTTTGGGATTTTGTTTTAAAAAATTGAGTTTCAATTTTCAGGAATGCCTACTCACTAATCAACAGTGCTTCTCTTGTTTTTCATTTGATGAAATAATTAGTCCATATTATTCTTGAAGCATTAAGCTTTGGTCTGCATTATTTGGCAGTGTTTGCAAAATTTCCAAATCTTATTACAATGACAGTCAATTCCCCCCCCCCCCCCCCCCCCTTTAGGCTATTTCTCAGCCTTTAATACAGGGAATCAATCACTGAGTGCTATCTTTTAAGTATTTAAGTGATTTTTATATCTTGAAAAGAACAAAACGATAAGAGTTGTGTATTATTTTTTTCGAGTAGTTATATTATTTAGGCCCTGTTTGGGGTTTCTGCAGCTCGATTCCAGAAAAAAGTAAATATTTTTGATGAATTATTTGAGGATGCTTGTTCTTTTGAGAAGTATCCTAGGGAATGGTTTTAAAAGCTGTTGTTGCTGTCAAGAATATGAAATTCCTTAGAAACCTTATTGTAAGCGTATTTTTCTTAATTTAAACATCTATTTATATAGCTTTCTAATACCTGTTTTTGGATAAGGCTTGGTTCTTTTTGCTTTTAGATTCTCATGTAACAACATTTTTATGATAATTTCATGAAAGAGTTTATTAATCAGTGGTGCAATTCTCAGAAACTTTTATGGCATTTTCACCAAACAATATTTTGAATGTTCTTCCCACAGTAGATCTCGGCATCCATTACATAACAGCCTTCATAAAACCACAGCATTCCCAAGTCAGGCCCTTTTTTTATTATGTTCAATATTTTTATTTGGAACAGAAATAGTTGTGTTTTACAATTAGCATTCATCACAAATTTGTTCTACAACTATGAAGTTACTAGTTTGAATAAAAAAATGTTACTTCATAGTGGCTAATTCAAGTATAATACATATGTTGTAGGTTATTTTTTTTATTCTTAACTTTGTTTGGTCATCTACATTTACCTGTTTCGGGGATAAATTATTTGATATGCAGTGATTCCTCTTTTCAATTTTGTTCCTGCTAATATCTTTTAGTAGAAGATGCTATTTCAAGGTTGAACTGCATATTGATGTTTTTTTTGTTTATTGTATATTGCTGTTTCTTTAGGAGGATATCTTATTGTCTGCTTTTGTGCTTTTCTCTATTTAAACTCCTTCTCTTAACAGCCCACAAAATAGAATGGTTTTTTGTTTTTGTTTTAGTGAGTAAATTACTTTTTGCATGATGAGCGTGCTGATTATTTTCTCAACATGTAAAGACCATCAGTGTTTGGGTGGTATAGTATTACTTAAGCTAGGTTTTTAGGTTCTCAGTAATTTGGATTCCATTCTTGCCAATCGTATTTGTCGACTCAATGAAATAAATCTTTTGGATGGCAGGATCTACAGCCTATCGACCGATTTGTTATGGAAGAGTATCTCCTTGATGTGCTTCTATTCTTCAATGGCTGGTTTGTATACACTGTTCATTTTCTTTATACTAGAAGTTTTGTAGTGACACAGTGATTTGAGTGTGAAGAAATAAAAAATAAAAATATACTAAAACACATAATGGCATGCCAATTTGATCTTGTTAAATTGGTTTTGGTTCTACCGAGTGTCCTTGGATTTTTTAGGGTGAGCTTTGGAGCAGCGGTAAGGTTGCTCCTTGTTACCGGAAAGTAACGGGTTCAAGTCTGAGAAACAATCTCTTTGCAAAAAATGTGAGGGTAAGGCTGTGAATAATTGAACCTCACCCCTACCCTCGCATGTCGGGCTGTTGGGGAGCCTTGTGTACCGGGGTTTGCTCTTTGAGTGTCCTAGGATTTTTCCAATTTTTGTTATGTTACATCATCGGAAACTTAGGGTATATATGCATTTATTTTTTTTGGAGTTTGCTAGGAATACCTCTGGTCCTTTATATACTCCATCTCTCTGCTTTTTTACTCTTTTCCTATTAAAATGTTTTTGATGTAATTTTAACTGTTCTCATTTTTGGGTTCATGCAAAGCTAGTCGAAAGGAATGTGCTTCTTTCATGGTTGGCTTGCCAGTGCCCTTCAGATATGAGTACCTAATGGCTGAGACAATATTCTCTCAGGTATTATCATGTAAAATTGCCATTCCCCCTCCCTCCTTATGTTTGTAGTCTGACCTAGGTACTATAAAGCTTTAGCATTATGAGATTATTCAATGAAGCTTTCTTTGGGCCTCCACATGGGGTTGGGCAGCTTGCTATCATAAGCTTAAGAATAATGATATTACTTTTTGATCACGAGTGAAGTAACATCTAATGTGGTAATGTCTAAGGAATGTGATACAAACTCAACCCAGAAAATAATGGAAAAGATTGAAATTATGGGCGTGTTTGATTGTGTTCTGGTTTTTTTATTCTTAAAATTGTTTTGTAGAATAGTTAATGAAATAGGTATTTTCTATTTTTTTTTGTTTTGAAAGTTAAAAGTCAAAACACAAAATAAAAACAACTTATATATGTTCTCTAAATTTGATTCTAAAAATAAAAAACAGTTACAATTTTTAAAACTTTTTTTTACAAAACACGCCTTATCAAACGAGTTTTTTTTTTTTTTTTTTTTTTTTTTTTTGAAAATCAAAAAACTATTTTTCAAAACAGATTTCAAACGGGCCCTATATTGATAAAATCTAGACCTGACCCAACATTTTCTACTATCAAAAGCAGAAAAGAAAATTACAGAAATACAGAAATGTAAATAAACAGAAAAATGAAAGAAGAAACAGAAACCAAGCCGGAGCAAATTGGAGAGTGCTCTGATTCTCTCCCAAGTCCCAAGTCTAAATTCCTTGATACCCTTCTGTGATGCCAGTCTCTCATATTTTCATGATACAGCCCGTAACAGAATTCCACTCATTAGATTCTAGCAGATTTCACCACCTCTTTCTTCTAACAGATTAGTTATGCCACTTTTGGCTCGTCAATGAAATGGGTAAAAGAAAGAAAGCATCTTTCCCCGTTCTCTTAATATTGATCTCTTAACTAGCCAGGGATGTTGTATATTTCTCATGGTGACAAGCAAGATTCGAAAGTGTGGTGCAAATTACTATAAGGTGATAGGGTTCCAAATTTTCATAAAAAATTTAGTTAAGAAAACAGATAGCAATGTGTTTTTGCACTATCAGGTTCCTGGAGAGGAGGTTGAGGTTTTTGCATTGTATTGATGAGGTGTGGGCTTGTCCTTACACCTTACTAAATGGTTTAGATTGTGATAAAACTTAAGCACGTGGATAGTGGACTATGGATGTGTTAGAACCCATTCATCTCCCTTTTTCGGAAATCGTCTTGTCCAATGATCAATTCTAAATTGATAGGGAATGTTACAAGTGTTTCCGTGAGAGTTGTTTGAAGGGATATAACGGTGCTTTTGTATATTTGTTAGTTCTTATCCCCTTATTGTTTGGGTCTTCAAGTCCTTCATTTAACTCCTTTTCTTATTTTCTTTGTCATTTATTTCTATTTTTATCAAAAAAAGTTATATCCTTTATGTTTATAGTTTGAAGGGAATAGTTTAATAATAAATAACTCGAGGATGATGTAGTGAATCTGCCAACTGCTATTTTTAGTGTACGTTTAAATGAAAGTGTCTTTTTTTAAACAAAAAAATCTTTGTTATGTAAATTAAATGCATTAAACTGTTTAATTTTACTTTTTATATGGATATTGCTGAAGTTTGTTGGCTTGTACTTTTGATATGGATGACTGAATATGCCTTAGTATATTAGCAGATTTAGTAATGCTATATCTATCTCTCTTGCAGTTGCTGATGCTACCAAACCCACCTTTCAGGCCCGTATATTACACACTGGTCATTATTGACCTTTGTAAGGTACTTACAAGTGGACTTAAGATGGCTGACTTATTTTCTCCGTCACTGAGGAATTATTGTTGCCCCGATACACGTTTTATATGGATTTCAAATTTCATTTCATGTCTAATGCTTTCTAATCATGTGGCTACACAATAGGCTCTTCCTGGAGCTTTTCCTGCTGTTGTAGCTGGAGCAGTTCGTGCTCTCTTTGAGAAGATTGCTGATTTGGATATGGAGTGTCGGACACGTCTAATCCTTTGGTTCTCACATCATTTGTATGTTCAGAATTTTAGCAATTGCATTTCAGGATGCATCATTTAATTTAATATATACTTGTGCATGTTCTGTTTGAAATATATCCTGTCGTCCTCTGTTTGTTGTACTTTTTCTTTCACCTCTCTAATACAATTTCTTCTTTTAAAAGAGAAAATAATCTTGCACGTGCTTCTGTTGTGTCTATATGCTATAGTTGCAATATACACATTGAAAGATACTATTAGTATTCATAAATCTCACATTAAAATTCTCTGCACTGGTTATGTTGAGGGGTGAGATATAAGTCTTCTTCTGAATGTGATGCAATTGTTGAAGTGAATTGCGGTTTCTCAGTCACATTTCTTGGTACAATGTTGTTAACTTCATATTTCCGTAAATTATAGATAATTTCCCTAACTTTTTGGGAAAAAAATAGGTAAAAAGAATTGTGTTGCCATCTTATGGTATACAGCTTAAGTTATTACTGTAAATTTATGCCTATATAGGTTTGGGGCAATTATGCAACACTTGGAAAAAGGAATTGTATATTGAATTGTATTAAATATGTGCAAAGAGGTTCTCTATTTAATGAGATTAAGTGAACTAATGCGCTAAGCCCAAAGAAGCTTCTAGAATAACCTAAAGGAATAAGAATAATTATTTACAATACTCCCCCTCAAGCTGAGGAACAAAAATTTATCATTCCCAGCTTGCTAGTAAAATCTTGAAATCTATTCGTGGGAAGCCCCTTTGTCAAAACATAAGCTAATTGGCGACTCGAGGAAATGTATGGAGTGGAAATCAACTCGCTAAACCCTAAACCTCAATATGCTTAGTCCGATCATGTTGGATTGGATTATGAGCTATACAGATGACAAACTTATTGTTACAAAGCAACTTCATGGGTCCTTCACATCTGATTTTGAGATCATCAAGTATGATTTTTAGCCACAACAATTCACAAATGCCTTGAGTCATAGCTCGAAACTCCGCCTTTGCACTTGATCTAGCAACCACACCCTATTTCTTGCTGCTGCATGTCACTAGGTTGCCACAAATAAACATACAATAGCCGGTGGTAGATCGGTGATCAAGTACTGACCCAAATAATCGGTGTTAGTATACACTTCTAAGGAAAGATTTCCTCAACGCCAGAATAATAGCCTTATATTCGGAGTATCTTTAAGATACTAAAGAATCCTTTTCACTGCATGCATGTGTTTTTTCTTTGGATTATGCATGAATTGACTGACAATACTAACTGCATAAGCTAAATCATGTCTAGTATGGGTTAGATATATTAACCGCCCCACTAGCCGTTGATATTGTCCTTTATGAACAGGAGGGCTCTCTTCTTCATTGTCGGATTTGTGATTTTGCTCAATGGGAGTACTAGAGGATTTACACTCAAGTTTCTTGCCTCTTTAAGAAGATCGAGGACATACTTCCTCTGAACTGATAGAAATTCTTTCTTTTGAATGAGCTATCTCTATTTCTAGGAAATATTTCAATCTCCCATTAGGTCAGAACCATCAATAGGCTCGCTAGAGGAACCTCCTTGAGAAGAACCTTCTTTCTTTGTCGAGATCATAGTAGATCCATCAATGTTTTTAGAATCAGAGGACAATAACAAAGTAGACCTATAAGATATTTTAGCATTCATCATAACTCCCCTGCGAGTCTCATCACCCCTAACGATGTTAAAACTGTAGAAAAGGATGGTAATTTCTCTTTGCCAAAGTATTTAAACTCGATTAAGGTCGTATTCAGGGTTTAACCCTACAAGAAAATCAAAGATGTGATCTTTTTATATTGTCGCAGCTAAGGCGGTAGCATCCTTAGTACATTTAATCTTCAACCTCTGATATTGATCCAACTCTGTCCACAACTCCTTCATAATGCCATAATAGGTTGTCACAGATAGTGAACCCTGTTTGGTAGAGAAGATCTTATTTCTCAACTCATAGCAGGAGGCCACATTTTGTTTCAAAGGATATGTTGATCGAATAACTTCCCAAATTTCTTGAGCGGAAGATAAGAACATGCAGTGACGACCCACATCAGGAGTCATAGAGTTCCATAACCTTGTCATAATAAGAGAGTCCTCATCATCCCACTCAACAGACTTGGGATCTGTTTTGGCAGTAGCAGGGCCATCAAGATGAGCAACCTTCTGATTCCCTTTAATGAAATAGTGCGAGCAAGTTGAGACCACTGCAAATAATTAGTCCCATCACGACGATAACCAGGATGTAAGGAAGGAAGGTCATTGTGACCAAAAAGGGCAACTGATTGTGTAATGGGCTGTGTAGCTACCGAAACGGTGGAGCTGCTACTATCAGCATCTGTCATTGTGCACAATGGTATTCAGAGAGCCCCCAAAATAGAGGTGGCAAAACGGGTGGAGTCGGCCGACTCGCCGCCAACCTGTCAAAAATGGGCACCCGCCCCGTATTATGGTGGGTTGGCGGGTCAACCCGCCTAAAAAATTAAAAAAATTATATTTTATGAGTTTTATAATATTACTTATTTTCATTTCTCACTTCCCTTAGTTTTTTTTCCATCTCATGCCTAAATGTATCCTAATATTTGGTCAGACATTGTTTAGGAACTTATTTTTGCCTTCATATATGGATAATCTTTGTTATAATAAAGTTTTTTTTTCTTTATTTTTTCTAGTGGAGTACTAAGATATAAAAAATTAGATATCACAAAGATTTAGTGACAAATAAAATATTACCAAAAAAAAAAAAAAACTGACCCGGCCGACCCATCCTGACCCACACTCAACCCGTTTTTACCCGCAACCCAGCGGGGCGGGTTGAGGCGGGTTAAAATGTGTAACCCAACCCGCCCTGTTTTGGTGGATAAGTGGGTTGATCCGTCGGGTTCAACCCATATTGCCACCTCTATCCCAACAACAAACGAAGGGTTAGATATGAGCAAAGGAGATCCGAAAAGCCAAAAAAATTGAACTTTTAGTTAAAAACACAACAACACACAAATCAAACAACGTCCGATCTACAAAATAAGCACAGATATGGAAATAGCAAGAAGAGGCGAATCAAACGACAATGGTCTGAGATGGAGAACCACCGCCCAGAAAGCCCAGCTCCAACGAAGACCGGAAACAAGGGTCCACACTAAAGGCGGCTGTCGTAGAAGCAAGGCCCTCAGAGTCAAGAGTTCTGATACCAACTTGGAAAAAAGAATTGTATATTTAATTGTATTAAACATGTACGAGAGGTTCTCTATTTAAGGAGATTAAGTGACCTAATGGGCTAAGTCCAAAGAAGCTTCTAGAATAAGCTAAAGGAATAAAAGTAATTATTTACAAATATAATTATTTACAACATTAAGTCTTGGATTATTAACTGCAAAAGTGCCATTAACCATTAGCGATTTAACCCTTATCGATCACAATTTCTTCAATAACCACTCCCCACTAATCCCTAACCAGTGAGGGTAGGTGTGAAGGCAATCCTTAGTACGCGGCCTTACTTTTGTATATTTGTAAAGAGGCTATTTTCCGGATTCAAATATTAGCCATAAAGGAGTAGCTTTACCCCTGCTTCAGGCTTGCCCTCTTCAATATTAGCCATTAATACATCCGATCAATCTAAATGGTACAAGTAAATGGATTAAAGTATTTACCATTAGTAGATTGATAACAGGATGACCAACTCATGGCTATTGTTGATACAATATATTGTTTTCTATTTTGTAATTCTAATTTCATTTTTAATACATTGATATTTTGTATTGCCTCTGCACCTGGACTTCTTTGTCTCTAATGAATTTATTTTATTATAAAAAGGGGGAAATTATAAGTAATGAAGTTTTGGTAAAAGTATTTCTAGTTTAGGAATGATTGACAATTCAAGGGATTAATAAGTTAATTTGCGGGTTGTTTACAAAAAAAAAAAAGGTTAATATGCGGGTTCACTCTTTGAACATCTTTAGTCATAATTAACTAGTTGAGTGGTTAATTGCCCCTCCCCTCATTCCTAAAAAATAATTAAATAAATAAAAATAAAATAAAAAATTTCTAGTTTTGGCTGTGAGATGGGTATACAGAACAGGAGTTAGGAAAGTCAAGCTGCAATTCTGACATTTCTAGCCTCTGATCCATGCTGCAGTATTACCAGAATCTCTTTGGCAGGCTCTTGGATTAACTATGATCCGTTATTAAAGGCCAGCTGTTGATCTTATAGAAGGGTATATTGACTTCAAATCAAGATCCTTGTACTTTTTATGGACTCTGCAATATTAGAGTTGTTATGGTTAAAAGGCAATCGAGATCTTGTGGCTCTAAGCCAAGCAGATTAGTGATTTGTAAGAAATTGAGAAATTGAGCTGGTGATCGATCGTTGATGAGGTGGTTGCTGTTTATATTGGAATATGTATTGCGCTTGAATGTTGGTTTTAGTAGGTTTCAAGAGCATGGGGTTCATCTATTACTGGAATCAATGGTTGTGTCATGTTTGAGTAAACCCTATGCAGTATGCAGTCAGGATATGTTGTGGCTGTATGTTAGAGTATAAAATAAATCATTAAAGAGACCCTCACCTAACAACTTAAGCTTTTGGGTTGAATTGGTTCTTTACATGGTATCAGAGCCTCATATCTCGGGTTCAATCCTTGCTGCCCACTATTTTCTTTGTGGAATTTCTTAGCACAGGTAGGCTGCGCCTGATGCATCATCCACCTTTCAAGTCCAGTGGACTCTCTTGTGAGGGGGCGTGTTAGAGTATAAAATAAATCATTAAAGAGGTTCTCACCTAACAACTTAAGCTTTTGGGTTGAATTGGTTCTTTACACTGTATTAGAGTAGAAGTAGAATAACATTGCATTCTTACTTGATGACTACTGTGTTTATTATGTACCTTACTTATGAGATGATTTCCTTTCTGTATAGATCTGTGTTGAGTAGTTAGGTTTCAGTTAGATGCTGACTCATATAATGCTGACTCATATGTTGTAAAATCTTTTCATTCATAATTTAGATTCTGAGTAACACTATTACTGTCTCTTTTTGTTACATTTTATCTCCCTTTCTATCTCTTTCTCTTTAACACAAATATGGTATCAGAGCCTTCATTTTGAGGGCCTGAGCCATTTTTCAGTTCTTTTCCATGGCTTTCGCAATTTTTTCGTCTCAAATCAACTGTAACAGTTCATCCAAGGAGAACAAGGCTCCATCTCTTTTCAACTATCAGATCTCCGTAAAACATACTAGAGATAACTACTTGTTTTGGAATCAAATCATGGATCATGTAAAGAAAGAGACTTAGATGTGTTTTGGTTAATTGCTTGGATGATTTTCCTTAAACTTTGATTCTCTATATTCAAGTGAAAAATAAATACAATTTTCATTTACAAGATATTCTATTTCCTATGCTAGTGCTGCCATTAATACTTTGTGCTTCACTAACACTATTTCCAACAATTACATGGCTGGTTTGGTTCCGACACTCCCCCTTAGCTGAGAATAAGTGTTCTCCATTCCAAGCTTGGGCGCTGTATTCTGGAAGGCCGAACTATTAAGCCCTTTGGTGAAGATATTTGTGAGTTGTTGATCGAAGATACTTAATGAGTACAAATTAGTCCACTATTCAGTTTCTCCTTAATGAAGTGTCTCTCTATCTCAATATGTTTGGTGCGGTCTTTGGACTAGATTGTGGACAATGTCAAGAAGGATTTTGAGCCAAAGTAATTCAAATATACATTGAGCCATCGCTCTAAATTGTGGCTTTGCACTAGATTTGGCCACCTTGCTTTTTACTTCTCCATGTTAGAATGTTTCCTCCAATGAATGTGCAATACCTGGTGGTGGATTTTCAGTCAATTGAAGATCCACCATAATTAGCATCTGTGTAGGATTTCAGCAACTCATCTGATCCCTTTTCTTGGTGTTCCCTTGAGGTTATGTAGCACGCGATAAGCTGCTTGTAGATGAATTTCCTTAGGGTTATGCATGAAATGGCTAATTGTACTGATTGCATAAACAATATCAGGCCTTGTGGGTGAGAGGTAAATGAGCTTCTAGACCAATCTTTGATACATTTCTAATTCTTTACCCACTACAACGTCTTCTTCTGCTGGACCAATCTTTAAGTATGGATCTATGGGGTTCTAGCTGGCTTGCATGCTTTTTCCCTAGTCTCCTTGATGTTACAGGTGGTATTTATCAAGAGGGTCAACCAACTACTTGGAGGGTTTATTCCCGTAGGAATATACCAAGGTTAAGTTTAGAAGAAGTAAAAAACGGTTGAGTAGTTAGTTACAATTGTTGATAGAAACACTTGAGGAAGAGGACGTGGGAATTGCGCTGACATCTAGTGCTAATTTTGCTATAAATTTGGACGTGATTCAATCATGTTGGCATAGATTTGATGAAAACTTTGTACCCAGTCTTCCTCCTCCAACGTATGCCATAAAATCGCAGTATTTTGGTCCTTGTCCTCAGCAACATGATGACTCTCTCTTTCTGTTATCTTTTCTCTCATTTCCTACCTTTTTCTCTCTGAACACAAATAGGCTGCAATATTAGAGAAAGTGGTGGTGCATGCTGAGGCAAAGGTTTTTATAGAAAATATTGAGTGAATTGCTTGAGTAATTTACACTCAGCATGCTAATATTTATTTACATGAACTAATAAATGCATCTTGTATTCATGAACAGAATTGTAAGTATTTCCTAAAATCCTATTGATTCCAATGCTACATTAAGCACTACTATTTACAATGCTATATCAATTACAGTTTCACTTCCCAATAAATAATGTTTGTCATTTCCAACATAGAGTAATCAAGAACCTATCTCCAACAGTTTATGATAATGTAAATGCATAAAATTGGTTTAATGGTTGTATTAAATGAATTAGTTGCTACTAGTGGGGAAATGGACAATTTATAGCTCTCGCATCCTATGCACTGTGATGATGAACAAATAATTGTTTCAAACTTTCAATCATTTATGTTTTGCAGATGAAAAATAAGTAATCCGTTGACATATATACATACCGTGTCTATATCCTATTGTATTTGGTTTCCTCTCTTGTTTGAAGATTGTGCTGTATTGTTTGTTTAACTCATTGCTATACCTTCTTCCTGCCATATTCACAATCTTGCTTCCTGCCCTCTTGGTTTGTTTGGGAATCCGGTTTAACATTTTTTAGTGTTAATGGCTCAGGCTGCAATAAATTATTTTTATCGGTTCTCTTTTTACTTTCAAAGTTGACATGTTGATCAAAGTTGTACCTCTAGTGTGTTCTTGTTTGATTTGGTTGATGGTTTATCTATGCAGATCAAACTTTCAGTTCATCTGGCCGTGGGAAGAGTGGGCATATGTCTTAGACCTCCCAAAGTGGGCCCCGCAACGGGTCTTTGTTCAGGAGGTTTTGGAGAGGGAAGTTCGTTTATCGTACTGGGACAAAGTTAAGCAGGTAATTATCCATGGCAGAACCATAGTAAAGATTGCTTTTGCTGGACATGACCTCAAGGTGTTGCAGTACTTGAATGCATTGCCTATTATGATTTTTTTATGGATATGGCTCATAGGAAAATCCTAAAAGGATGTGTTTAAGTTTCTTTAACTGTTTTTGTTTTCGACAGAGAGGAGTGGATGCTTCTCTATCAGCAATTGCATTAATTGAGTAGGCTTTAGTTTCATTTCATATAGTCGAAGTATTAATGTCTCCATGTTACATTTCATGATATTTTGTGTAGAGCATTGAAAATGCACCTGGTTTAGAAGAATTGCTTCCTCCCAAGGGTGGACCAAACTTCACTTTTGGTGCAGAAGATGGTAAAGAAAACAATGAGCATGTGATATCTGGAGAGCTCAACAACATGGTTAAAGGGAAGGCACCTGTCCGTGAAATAATCTCATGGATTGATGAAAGTGTGTTTCCGAATAATGGTCTAGAAGTTACCCTCAGAGTGGTCGTACAAACTCTTCTCCATATTGGATCAAAGAGTTTCACTCATTTGATAACTGTCTTAGAGAGATATGGGCTAGTCATTGCAAAATTATGTCCTGACCAGGATAAGCAAGTCATGCTAATAGCTGAAGTGAGTTCTTTCTGGAAGAGTAACACCCAAATGACAGCAATAGCGATTGACAGAATGATGGGTTATCGACTCGTATCAAATCTTGCTATTGTGATATGGGTCTTCTCAGCGGAAAATATTGAGCAATTTCATACATCGGATCGTCCATGGGAGGTACTTAATTTTGGTTTTATGGATGGTTAATTCGTAACTCTTCCCTTCTCAGATAAAAAATACACAGATTGGGGAATCATCTATCTTATGCTTTCAATTGTATTTTCACTTGATCAGCTTTGGATAGCTAATGCTTTTTACATTTTAGTGCTGGAAACTTTTCATCTTATTGTTCTTGGTTTGATCGTGATTTACAAATCACAACAGATATTCAATTTTTAAATTATTTGATCTTCATCACATAAACTTCGTCTTTTCATTTAGTAATTTCCATCCTGTTTTCCATCCAACAGGTTCTTAGAAATGCAGTAAGCAAGACATACAATCGTATTTCTGATCTAAGGAAAGAGATATTATCTCTAAAAAAGAATATTTTATCAGCTGAAGAAGCTTCCAAGGAGGCAAAAGCAGAGTTAGATGCTGCGGAGTCAAAACTCACTCTAGTGGATGGTGAACCGGTTCTTGGTGAAAATCCTCTTAGGTTGAATAGATTGAAATTACACGCTGAAAAAGCAAAGGAAGAGGTCGTGTCTCTTAAAGAATCTTTAGAAGCTAAGGAAGTTCTTCTTGCCCGAGCAATTGATGAAAATGAGGTAATTGATGTAAAACTGCTATTAGTTAATTTGTCTGCAGACAGCTTTTCTTATTAAACATGATATTTGATGTTCCACTACAATGTCTTTGAACAGAAACATTTTTCTGTTGTGATGAACTGTGTTATAAGGAAAGTGGATATGCCAACAGTGTTTCTTACTTTTGAAATATTCATTCTCTCTTTTTTCCTCAGTGATTTAGATGATATCATGTACATAGATAACCTGCGTTAGGTAGCAAGAGCTTTTGGCGAATGTGGAAGGGTGATATTTCAATGAAGCGATAGATCATAGGTTTATGTGTAGTAATTTACACATGTCCATATCTGAAAGGTGGTTATTTGTGCAACATTGCAATAAAAGCACAGAAGAGAAATATTATTAGAAGGATGGGTTGGAACTTGGAAGTACATAATAAAGGACGATTAGGAATCCTCCTACGCAGAAAGAGAGAGTACAGCACGGTAAAAGGACTGGAGTAGCTAACCCAACCACTTTTATATTTTGATTGCTGTCATGTTTAAGACACATAAAATAGCACTCTAATACTTATACTCTATAAAGAACCGATTCAATCCAAAAGCTTAAGCTGTTGGGTGAGGATACATTAATGGTTTTATATATCTCAACACGCCCCCTCACACAAAAGCCCACTGGGCTTGAAGGGTGGACAATGCACAGGCCCACCTACCTGTGCAAAGAAACAAATTCCACTAGAAAGAAAGTGGGGGCGGTGAGGATCAACCCGGTACACTGAGGCTCTAATACCATATAAAAAACCAATTCAACCCAAAAACTTAAGCTGTTGGGTGATGATACATTAATGATTTTATATATCGCAACATACTCTACAATTTACAGATTTTCTTCTCACTTCCATTTGTAGTTTATCTAGTTTCTTGGCTTGTGTCGAAGCACTTTGGATTTACTTTTTATGGAGTTATAAAAGCCATTCCTGGGTCCTTTCTGGCTTGCTCAACAGCTAAGGCTTCAGAGTATTGGTCAATGGTTCAAGTGGGTTTTTGACCCACTTAATTTGAATTCCATGCATTTAAAGCTCTGTTTCTAATAGTATTTTCCTTGCATTGGTGGCTATTGGCACATACAGGCATTATTTCTCTTGTTGTATAAAAGCTTCTCAAATGTGTTGACCGAGCGACTTCCTGAAGGATCTGGAACTAGAACATTGCGGGAATTGAAGTCTGCACAAGTTGATGCGATGGCAGTGGACACTGAAGAACTATCATCAATGGAATTAGACAATGAGAATCAGAGACCTCAGAACAGGTTCTGAGTCCTTCCTTCTGACCTAGATAAAAAAAGAGTAACCAAATTACTGCGTTGCTTTGTGGAAGTTACATATTCATAGAACGTAATAACTTTGGTTTCTTAATCTCTTCTGCAGTCAGTCAAATGGTGGGAAGAAAAGTGGTGCTTATAATGTAGGTGAAAAGGAGCAGTGGTGTATCACCACTTTAGGTTATGTGAAGGCCTTTTCTAGGCAGTACGCTGATGAGGTATTGTTCAAGTCACAGTGCTTGCATTTGAATGCTATCTTAGTTTTTATGTTGGGAATGCCATATAAACAACACTATGTACAAAAACTTCTCTTTTTGGCAAAATTCCGTATCTTATCTAATGGTTCTGCAATGTTGCTGGCAGATATGGCCCCATATTGAAAAGTTGGATGCAGAGGTATTGACAGAAAAGGCACCCCCTCTTTTTCGGTCCGCTGTTTATTCTGGTCTTCGAAGACCAATTAATGAGGCTTGATCAATTTATTATTTCTTCTGGCTTTTTTTTTTAAATTAACATAAATCCATTCTTTGAGTCTGATGGCTAAGCATTCCCTTTAGTTGATCAAAATAGGAAAGCTGTATGCTATTGTAATGTAAATGACAAGGTTGGTATTAGAAGAATCTCCGCTGTTTAGATTCTGATGGGACTTGACCATTGCCACTGTATATTACCTATTTCGATCATTAGCTACTAATTGGACCTAAATACAAAGACTGAAGTTTGCACACCACCTGTGGTGCTTACCGGGTGGGTTGCAAAAAATTTGAGCCTTAAAATGCATTGTGATTATAGTTTAACTCAAATGTTCGTTTATATTGGTGTAGATAAATGGCTGCGTTTACGATCTCTTTTTCGTCTCTTAAAAGAAAACTGACTTTCTATATATAATTTCTTTATTGTTTATGATCCTCCGTAGTAGAGCATTGTTATGTATGCCTGTAAATATTGGAATGTCTAAAAATTATCAACCAGTACAACTTTGATAATTCAGAACGTTGCTGGTTACTACAATTACAGAAGTGAAGATCTACATCATGTTTGGTATTTAGGGCAATTTCGTATATAACTAGAAATGGAGTATGTAATAATGATTCTACCTTAAATTACATTTACGTGACTAGAGGTGCCTCTTCTAGAGATTGTATTGGACTATGTAGCACCGATACGACACGTGACATGACACGACACTCCGACACGTCAATCTTAAAAAATTATGGATTTCGACACGTTGGGACACGTTTTAATATTAAATATTTTTAATTTATATAGTGTATATTTCATTTAATATTTAATGATTTAAGAAAAAATGAAACTAAATTAATAATACCCATCAACACGTTATAAAGATGGAAGCTTTAATAAAAAAAATAAGAACTGAGATGAGAGAGAGATATATAATATTAGATAGAGAGATCAAATCATATTAGAGAGAGATCAGAGAGAAGAAGATACAACAAGAGCGTGATAGGAATTGACAACAATGATGCTGAGATGATCTCTTATCTACTTAAGGGAAAAAAGACAAAAAGATAAAATTGATATGATCAGGTGGAAGCTTTATTAATATATTTTAACTTTTTAAAAAAATAAATTTTAAAAAAAAAATTAAAAAAAAAATAAAAAAAAATTACGAAAATGCCATTTGACCGTGTGGGACACGGTCCAATTCGCGTGTCGGAATGGTCAACGTGTCGGAAAAAGTCAACAGCGTGTCCGACACCGTGTCGGAGCGTGTCGCCGTGTCAGAGCGTGTCAGATCCGACTCTTCCTTTTTTTACAAGTGTCCGTGCTTCCTTGGTATTGGGATTTTACCATCATCTGCATAATTAAAATTAATTATTTTTGTTCATAGTTAATTTTACGTAAATGATAATTATTGGTCTTACTTTTTGTGTGTGGAAATAATAAGGAAAACAAAAACAAAAACAAAGAAAGACCTATAATGGGCACATCCTTGGGAGACTAACTCTCCTCAAATCATTACGAAGCAACTCCAAACAAACAAATGGAGGACTATCAAGCACAATCAGTTGCCCATCTTGATAAGATGCATGTGTTGGAAGCCAATCAGCTACAGAATTGCCTTCTCTATAGGTATGATCAAGTCGAATAATTCAGTCTCTTTGAAGCATGCAACGAGCTCTGATAATTAAAGAGGAAAAACGATGACTTTCCTCACACCCTTTCTTATAAACTCCAATGCTACCATTGAGTCACCTTCCATAAAGACTTTTCTAAAACCCTTCTGCCAAGCAAGTTCCATACCTGTCAAGAATCTCCAAATTTTCGTTGAGGTAGATGTGCCACTTCCTAGGAATTTCGTGAAACCAGTTAACCAGTTACCTGCAGAATCCCTAATTACACCACCACACGTCATCTTCTGACCACTGTCTATGTTCTAGCCATCTACATTAAGTTTAACATAACCGTCAGGACCACCACACGCTGTCTTCTGACCACTGTCTATGTTGGAGCCATCTACATTAAGTTTAACATAACCGTCAGGGGGAAACTTCCAATGAATGAAGCGCTCTTCCCTTCTAGGTTCATGATGCCTGATCTTGATAAGAGCTGCATAAGACAAATGAATGTTATCACATGTATAGACAATCCGTCTAATGAGACCATACTTGGAGGTGCAAGTTTGATCAAAAATCACTTTATTTCGCTGTCCCCACAAACTCCAAGCTATAACCCCAAAATACAATGGCCAAGATTTGTCTCTTTGAATCGAACCTTGCATTCCTAGATTTCTTTGGACCAATTGATGAAGATCCATAGAGAAGAAATCATTTTGATGTTCAGGAGGAACCCAATGCTCCCATAAATCTCTAGCACCAGGACAATCCCTAATGGCATGTAAGCCATCCTCATGATGATAGCGACATCTTAGGCAAGATGCATCTGTAGTCATGTGACGATGCATTCTACGAAAATTGGTTAAAAGAAAATCACCATAGAGCAGCCATAAGAATTGTCTAATACGTTCTGGACCAGGCCAAGTCCAGATTCCTTTCCAAACTCTATCCTGATGATAATGCGAAATTCCAATAAGAAAGTTGTAAGCTAATTTCACTGAAAAAACCCTGTCTTGGCTACCTGTCCAGATAACCCGGTCTGAAGTAGAATCCCCTCCAGGCGGAAGCACACAACGAATCTTATCCAACACCGGAGAAGGAAGTAAGTGTTGGAATAAAGGCCATCCCCAATTACCATAACAAGTTACAAATTGAGACGTAGTCCAATGAACCATAATAGGAGGAATAACTTGAACTGACAAAGAGAAAAGTTGAGGACACCCTCGAACCCATGAATTCATCCAAAAAGAAGTTTGATTCCCATCTCCTAAAATGATACGGGAATTATCCAGAATCTGAGGCCAACACTTGACAATAGCTTTCCATAACCCAGAGTCATTTGATGAAGCAGAAATGTTTGGAATGAGCCTCTCATCAACTTTATATTTGCTACGCAGGACCTGAACCCATAATGAGTTACTGTCAGTCATGATTCGGTGACCCAGTTTCATGATGAAAGCCTTATTATTCTCTTTAATTCTGCGAATTCCAAGACCCACCATATTCCTCGGCAAACATGTCTTCTCCCAAGATACTAGATGGGTTTTCCTTCGTTCAGGAGTTGATCCCCAAATAAAATTCCTTCTTACACTCTCAATACGATCACAAATTCCACTAGGAATAATACAAGTTTGCATAGGATATTGAGGAACCGCAGTAAGCACTGACCTAGCCAGCGTTGATCTTCCAGCCAAAGAAAGAGAACGTTGATTCCAGCAATTCAAACGAGCTTGCATCCGATTTAGAATATAGCCAAAAGTACTCTTTGTAACTCGGCTATGAGAATAACCCATTAACTGGCTCAAAATCTGCACACGAGAGTAATTAACATTCCTGGAAAAAATACTTTCATTCTTTCCTGACTAACTTTTTCACCAGAACACCTACAAAAACAATCAAGAATTTTATTAATAATGTTAGCTTGTCCTTTCGTAGCCTTCGCAAAGAGCAGAAGATCATCTGCAAAAAACAGATGAGAAATCTTTGGCCCCCTTCTATTCTATCTGATTGGCTTCCAAGCATCCTCCTGAACCGCTACGTTGATCAGATGAGCAAGTCTTTCCATACAAAGAATAAATAAATAAGGAGATAAAGGATTTCCCTGTCGAAGACCTTGATTGGGAGAAAATTCTGACGAGGTAGAACCATTCCATAACAAATTCATTGTACAAGACGAGAAACAACCCATGATAAGGGAAATAATGTTCTCAGGCAAACCAACGTCCACAAGAGTATCTTTCAGGAACTCCCAAGATATCTTGTCATAAGTCTTTTCTAAATCTACTTTGACAGCCATCTAACCCTTACCTCCTATCTTCTTATTCATGGAATGGATGATTTCCTGTGCCACAATGATATTATCTGCTCCTTGGCGACCCTTGATAAAGCCACATTGATTGGGCATAACCAGATGAGCCATATGAGATTTTAACTTATTAGCCACAATCTTCGTCATAGTTTTGTAAATAACATTACAAAGGCTTATAGGTCTAAACTCTTTAAAAGATTCAGGCACCTCAACCTTGGGAATCAGATAAATCAAAGTTTGGTTTACATATTTGATTTTATCTGGATGTAAGAAAACATCCTTCTCAAAAGAAGTAACCGAGTCTCCCACCTTATCCCACTGAGTCTGAAAGAAAAGCACATTAAGACCATCCTTCCCAGGCGACTTATATGGACCAAAAGAGAAAACCACATCTCTGATCTCTTTATTGTTTGGAATAATGCTCATACTTTCTAAAGCATCCTCTTCAATAGCTGGGAAAAAACCATGAATTGGAAAATCTGGTTTGGGCAACGGATCTTTAGAGTATAGATCTTTAAAGAAACTAACAGCCATCTCCATTAAAACTCATTGATCACCAATCCACACCCCATCAGAATTCTTCAGCGTATCTATACGATTTCGTCTACGTCTTGCATCGGTCACAGAATGAAAGAAACGTGAGTTCCTATCTCCAAGAGCTAACCAATTCAACTTTGATATTTGAAACCAGGTAATCTCTTCTTGAAGATAAATCTTGTCCAGTTCCCGCCATAAATCCTTCTGCAACATTTCTAAACTATGACTTGGTTGGCTACTAAGAGTAAGACACTTGTCAATACCTTTAATCCTAGAATGCAGCTCTTTTTTTCTTTTCAGCACGACACTAAAAACATCTTTGTGCCAATTTGTCACATCTACCCTAAACTTCTCCATAGCATGCATCCAGTTTTCATTATTAGTCTAACAACCATTGACCACATCATGGAAAGAATTTTCTGTTAACCAGGATGCAAGGAAACAGAATGGACGATCCCCTCTCGGATGAATAGTAGGCTGACCTTCCCAAATTAACACAGGTCTGTGATCTGATCCAAAAAAAGGTAAGTTGAAAGCCACACGGTTAGGAAAAACCATGTTCCATTTGTCATTAGTACAAACCCTATCAAGTCGTTCCTGAAGATTCCTTCTTTGCCAAGTGAAAGTGGGACCTTGGTTTCCAATGTCAGACAGATGACATTCATCTAAACAATCTTGAAACTCCCTCATGCTATTCCAGTTATGCCCATTACCACCAATTTTCTCATAATCATACAAATAAGTATTGAAATCCCCAGCTATCCCCCAGGTCACATCCCTCATGGATTGATCGAACAGAGAAGACAGAAGCTCCCAAAGATGGATATGCTCCTGTCTACGCGGACTAGCATAAATGAAAGTCATGAACTCCTCTTTATTTTCTTTAACACATGTTATTTTTGTGTGCACCAATTGATGGTGTGAAAAAAGAACCTCCACTGAAACTTCATCAGTGTTCCAAAGTACCCAAATACCACCAGAGTAGCCAACAACATCCTGATGATAGTGACCAGAGAAACCAAGACGACGAATAGCTCTATCTGCCCTTTCACCACTCAGTCTAGTTTCCAATAAAGCCATTATTTTAATATTGTATTTATGAGACAGATCACGAATCAGAGGTGGAAAACTCCTTTTCCCAGCCCTATACAATTCCAGGTTAAAATATTCATGGGAAACCAACTTAAAATGAAACATACAACTTCAGGATTCATCACAAGCCCTAAGAAAGAGCATTGGTGTAAACAGATGTCACATCCAAAGCGTCCAAATTATCCAAAGGGATAGTATCCTTGTGAATCTGGTAAAAATTCCTCATCAGCGTTAGAGCATTCGGTGGTCTTCCATGTTTTCCACCTTTGTCCAAAACACAGGTAGCGAAAGTAGTCTCTTGCTGCACATTTATCACATGAGACGTCATCCTCTGAGGTTTTGACAATGAGGGATGTAAGACTATTTGTCTGTCATTAATGTCATCTAACATATTTTTCTGAGGATCAAGTTTTGGATTACTTTTTTGAGATTCTACACCTTTAGTAGCATTTGATCTACCTTTGCTACTATTAGCATTCTGAACTAGCTGTTGAACTTTGGCAGATGACATTGTCACTTTTTCTTTTGTTGATGGTTTTCCTTGAATCTCACTCCTTGTTGTTGAACTTATTTTCTCGCCTTACCTAGAGAGAGGTTAACGGATGGAGCTACTGTTTCCATTTGATTGTCCTTCCTACCCAACTGTTTATCTCTATGAGCTAGTAATTCTCCATGTTTAATTTGTGTCTGACCAGATACGATACTGATTGAATCAATCACTGGAGATTCGAAAACTATCAAAATGTCATTATCCTTTTGAGCCAACTCAGCAATAGCTTGGTATCTCGATCCTGATTAGATGACCTGGCTTTGATTTAAATCAAAATTTGAATCCACTTTATTACGTAACGTTGGGTTATTCCCCATGCTAGCTTGTCTCCTGCCCGATGACAGTAATTCCTCCTTTGATTGCGCGATATTCCTTGATCGACAATTTCGTTGCACCAGCATCCAATTCCCAAACGGTTCTTCCTTCGCCGGAACAACTTCTTTTTCCGACTGATTGGGCACCGCCGAATCAGAAACCTCTTGAGCATGAGCTGTAGAACCCTGATGATGGTTACTCTGTGAGCACTGGTCCTTTTTGTGGCCATATTTCAAAAATAAACTAGGTGAAGTCCCTCCTGACCAACATGAAAAATGCGATCAGCAATCCGAAACTTAGACAAAAATCCTTTCCTGAGATCAACTTCAACACAAATTCTTGCAAACTTCGCTCTTTTTGTAATATCACCTTCCCCAGAGTTTTGTTTTCTGATAGAGTTCCTATCAATCTTCAAAGTACGACAAAAAATACTTCCAATATTCCACAAATGATGTGTGGTATAGAATTCAATAGGAAGTCCAGGTATACGAATCCAAACTGTCAGTTTTCTGATCTCATCATCATAAGGATTAAAGAAAGGACGCCATCGCTGAACTACCACATAGTGATCTGCTATAATCCAAGGGCCATCCTCCAAAACGTGAGAGATCATTCTTGTTAGAAAATCGGAACAAAAAATAGTCATTCTCCAGATCAATGAACTCATATGCTCCTGATATATTCCACATTTTCAGTAAACGATTGAGCAAAAATCTTACACCTACTCTCTTCCCTAGAAGTTTCACAATGATTGCCTGTCTCCATGGCCTGCAACCTTCTAAATGCAATGCTTTCAGGAAAGAGTATGTTGGGCAAAGAGGATCATCCTCTCCATCTACCGTAACAAAAACCTCTTCCCCTTCTTCTTCCTCTTCCATTAAAACCTAGAAGAGAGTCTTTATATGACACCACTTTTCTGTTAGGTATTTCGCCTGTCAACACCGGGATCGAATGATTTTTCCCTTCATTGCTTGTCATATCCACCTGGTGATCATCCATGGGCTGATCTTCCATAGCAGGACCTTTAGGTTTTTTTGTGCTTCGATGAAGAAGATCTTCCTCCTCAGCTGTAGGATCTGTTGTCTCCTTACCAGATTCTTTCGTATCACTCATCGCTGTTTGAACGCAAGGTGGCGGATTCATACTCTAGCAGTGATGCACATGCAGATCTGCGTTATTGGCGGTGCTCCGATCACGAGTCGGTAGCCTGAAATGTAATTTAGAAAATAGCTATCATATTACTTATTTTATGTATTCTATTGGTCTTACTGAATTTTATGTATTCAATTATCTTATTTTTCGTAAAAATAATGATCAATTGTAATAACTAACCATTGGCGTAGTTACTTTAATTTTAATCATCAACATGGCCAAATAAAGCATTATTCATATTAAATTACGTATATATTAGGATCTAAACGTTTAAATTATTAAAAAGGTTGACTAACACAATTATTATTTATTGTGACTAGTTTTATATGTGATTATAAATTTGAATTTCAGTGTTGTCATTGTATAAAAATATATATATTATTAAAAAATACTAAAAATATTTTGCATGGAAAATAGGAAAAAAAGGCATCTAATGTTACTTTAGACATCTTTGTCTAATTTCACTGAAATGATGTCATTTTGGGGTTGAAAAATTAAAAAATTAGAATAATAAAGACTATTATGACCCTGAAATAAATTAAAATTACAAACATACTATAATTTTTGCCCTAAAACGACGTCGTTTCGGTCAACATTAAACAAAATGATCTAAAGTAACTTTAGAAAAAATGAACCCTTGAAAATATATTAAATTTAAGCTTTTTTCTTGAATCGTTATCATTTTTTTGGAACTTTTTAAGGGTTTGATGTTTCTTATTTATATGAGATTATCTCTTATAAACATATAAAAGTATGTGGGGTCATGTGAAGAGAGGAGAGAGCACATGTAGTGTGGGTGTGGCCTCATCTCGAGCTAAATTTTAACAAATTGCACTTATTATATATAATTATATAATTAATTTTAATTTTGCGTGGATTAAAATTATAATTTGGCTCGAGCTACAATTTGTAATTTGGCCATATGTAAAACTTAAAATATTTTTGGTGAAAAATTTGGGTAAGTTGTATTAGGTTAATTTTCACTTGTATAAAAATAAATAAATTATTTTAAGTCAAATTAAAAAATGTTTAATAAAATGATAACTCTTCTTAGTGTCGTTTGCTCAGGTGTTCTGTATTTAATATAATTTAAATATATTATGATATGAACTAACAAAAATTAAGAAAAATAAATACACATAATTTTTTGGTCCCGGGCTCAAATTGGAGCCCGGCTCCGCCACTGGGAGAGAGAAATGAAAACATGGGTTCGACATATTTTTATGTGTGTAGGATATAAAATTATTTCTTAACGAGAAACAATATCATTTTTTAATTGTAGTGCACTGGGTAAGATGTCAACTAGTAAAAATAAAATATATTGTTGATGCTAGCACGAAAGTTAGGGGATTTGAAACTCAAAGTGATTGAGAATTTGAGAGGGAAGGCCAATTGAGTCTATGTTGCATCGGCACGGGACACGGGATACGATATATATGACATGATACTTCGATACGTTAATTTTAAAAAATATTAAATTTTGACACGTTAGGACACATTTTGATATTATATAATATTTTTAGTTTATGTAGTGTATATTATATTTAGTATTTAATAATTTAACAAAGAAATAAAGCTAAAATTATAATATCCATCAATTTTACAAAGAAACATAAGATATTCTAAATGTTTATATTAAACTCAATAAAATTATAATCGTAATCTAATGAATCTAATAGTTGAAACTCAAAATGTAATACAACGTAACTTTTGAACCTTTTATGAGTTTTTACAATGAGTATTGGAGTATCGGGAAGTGTCGGACATACGATACGTCAGAATTTTTGAAATGTTTCGATGGATTTTGAGAGAGTATCGTTAAACTAAGGTGGTTTGGCGAAAAGGGTAAATGGAATATGAAACGGCTCTCTTTGAAGCCATTGGAAAACGGACATCCTAGGCCTTTTACCACAAAGACCAGGACAATTGAAAATTTAAATTGTTGCGGCAATTATTTCACTGGGGTTTTATTAATCTCATGTTAAAGGAGATAAGTTATCTCATGTCATAGAGATAAATTTGTGAGTTCCATCATCTAAAAAAAAGAAAGAAAAAAAGGTGACACAATTATCAAAAAATGTGAAGGAGAGAAAGTTATCACATATAATAGATGAGTAGTTTTTCCCGTAAATTTAAGCACTACCACGTTAGCCAAAACCCAAAAATTAACCTACTGATTTGCGTATGTTCGATTTCTATTCTCAAAAGTAATTTTTTAGTTTTTAAAATAAAAAAATTTGTTTGAAAAGAGTTGTTTTGAAAAATGAATTCCAAAACAAAAATTGTTTTTTAGTTTTAAAAACTAAAAAAGCAAAACAACTCAGGGGAGGATGCTTTCAAAAGTTATTTTTTTGTTTTTATTTTATTTTTGCGGTGATAATTTTGTAAATATGAGGATTCATAAATAGTATTTTTTATAAATAAATTTAATTTTTTTAATTTTAAATTACTTTACTATGATAATTTTGTAATTATAAAACTTCATTAATGGTATTTTTGTAATTAATTACAACTTTTTTGTAATTAACTACCTTGTTTAGTTTTTATAACTTGAGGGTTATAGTTACAACTTTTTTTTTTACAACTTCTTACAATTATATCTTAACACCGTTGATTTCTATCAATCAACGGTTATTATTTTCGCAAATTAAACTCATTAATTAATTATTAATTCACAATAAATGATAACCGTTGATTGACGGAAATTAACGGTGTTAAGATATGGTTGTAAGAGGTTGTAAAAAAATAATTATAAGGATAACCTTTCTTAAAACTAATTATTATCAAACAAATTTTATTATTCTTTTAAAATCAGTTTTCAAAATTTATGTTTAAAACAAATTTAAAAAAATAAAAATAAAAACACATCCAAACACGCCCAATTTACTCGATTGGGATACTGAAGCAATAGTCACACGCAGTGGAAACCATTTCACAAGCAAGGATTTCCAAGCTTATTAGCTAGGATGAAAATTAAATATTATTTTACCTCATTCGAAAATCAACGAATCAGGGGGAAACTTAAGAAGTGAACAGAGTGTGATTCTTCAAGGACTGAAAAGGAGTTTTGACGAAGCAAAAAGGAATTGGGCCGAACAACTAAAGGCCCATTTAGATCGGCTTTTTTTTCCTTCAAAAGTTATTTCTTTTAAGAAAAAAAAGTACTTCTCACTTTAAGTTTGTTTGGATATCTATTTTTAAAAAAGGCAAAAGTCACAAAACAATAATAATCAAAAATTTATTTTTTTTAGAAGCTAAAAATTTTAACTTCTGAAAAAAACAAAAACCAAAAGCCAAATATTTCTTATTTTAAAAGTGTTTTTTTATAAAAATTTAATAGAGATTTAGAATCTTTCTTCTTTAGAGATTTAGAATATTTATTTAATTATTTCCTTTATTAATACAGATTTTTCAAATTGATTTTTAAATTTAAAGCATAAATCAAATCTTTTTTTGTTTTCCTTATTATTAATAATTTTTATTTTTATTTTTAATTTAAATCATAAACCAAATCTTTATTTATTTTTTTATATTAAATCACAAACTCAGAACCCAGAGGCTTCTGGGTTTAATCGCATTTATAATACTATTCTTGCAAATTTAAATTGTGTTTGTGAGAAGTAAAATATGTCAAATGGGATGTCATTACGTAAATCTCGAAAAGTTATGTGAAATCAAAAAGAGAATTACCTGATTTGAATACCTGAGTCAAAAGTTACGGCCTTCAGAAGTTTTACGATTAAATTGTTAATTTTTTTTTTTGGAAAAAAAAAAATGTGACACATGTCAACACCTTATGAGTGACGCTTAAATTAAGCGTGATTGCCTCTTGAGTGACGTCCAAATTTAAGCGTGATTGGTGACGCCCAAATTAAGCGTGATATTGTGCAATAAATATGTAATTATTTTCAAAATTTTCATAAATTCGTAATTTTTTATTTAAAAAACAATATATCAATTTTTTTGCCGTTGGGATTGTCGTATCAATTCTTTTTTATTTGTAGCTTTACCAAAGTTGCTGCCATACATCTATATGGCATGTATTTCATGTACTTCAAAATACAATTGCTTTGGAATTCAAGAGCTTCGACAATATTATTATTATTTTATTCTCAATCTAAGATCGGTTCGAATTTCAAAAATAATATATTGTTCTAACACTATCTTAATAGGAATGGGACCGTAGGTGCGTTGAGGTCATCACTTATTATTAGCAGAAAACCTCCGAGTTTACCCCATACTCTGTCTTTTATTTGTCGTTTGTTATCATGCCGTGGTGACAATGCTGCAATCCATTTTGTCATGTGATGTTGCCCGTGATTTTTCAATTACCATGTCATCATTGACTCAAGGATTCAAATCTCCTACTCTAGTCCTCCCCTTGTGTATTTTCTCCTTTACAAGTGGTCCATATGTGAAGCTAACAAATGCAACATCGCAAAACGCCTTTTATTGTTGACATCTTCTTAATCATATTTTGGTCTTAGTGCGGAAGAGTTTGATATGTGCGGGAATCTTCAAATTTTATCTATCATATATTTTACGTTACATAGAAGCCTAGAAGCAGAGGTGGCAAAACAGGTCCAGGTCCGATCCATAAGGTTGAGCCATTTAACCAGTCACAAATGGAGAGTTGGGTTGAGATTTTTCATCCGCCAACCCGTTTGAACCAGGACAGGTCAAAACGGGTTCAACTCACAGCGAGTAAGTTGACCTGTCGAGTTGATTTTTATTTTTAAAAAGAAAAAATTAATTAAGGACATTTTTTTACACCTCTTTTGTCCTTCTTTAATACCTTCTATAGTTATATGGAGTATAATTTTTGAAAAAAATTCACTTTTTTAATATGTTGGCGTGGCAAGTAGAAATTTTCAACCCACTTATAAAAACGGAGGTAGACAGATTAGGTTGGGTTGGGTCGGGTCATTTTAAGGCGAGTTAGAGGCGAGGTGGATTGTCCGTTTTGCCATCTCTACGACAAGAAGGCTATCTTTGGAGCTAATTGCTCCTTATAACTAGAAGATCACATATTCAAGTTTGGAAAATATCTCTTTGTAAAAATATAAGGTTAAGATTGCATACAATCAATTGATCCTAACCTCTATCTTCACAAGTTAGGAAGCTTGGTGTAACAAGATTTGCTCCCATATATTTTGCATTAGATATGCATAAGGCCTCTATTGGTAAAATATCCTCATCATGGGTACCATGTATAGTACTCACATGGAGTTGGGGTAGCAAGGAGTACAAGGCTCAAAGGAATGGGGCCCCTTCTATTAAAAAAAATAAAATCTAAAACAGTAGCATGTGAACTGTGCATTGTCCCCTTGCTAAGGATAGCTGACAAATCAAGAGAAACAAAAGGTATTAATAAATATGGATGCAAAGAGACAATGAATATAGTGCTACCCTTGCCTATCCCGTGATGCTAACGAAATGCACCTCATAAACTGTCAGAAGAACAACAAGAAAACACACTGGTATAGTTACTGATTTTATCTTTCCCCTACTTAAAAACACACACATTCCTAGACCCGATAACAATTTGCATCATTCTCTGTTTAGAGAGATAGTTCAAGGAGTTATCCATGGCCACTATCACAAAGTTATTTTCCTTTGTCTTTCTGGTTGTCTTGCTTTGCAATTCACATGTTCTGATGAGTTCAACAACTGAGCCAACAATTTCAGCTTCCCCAGGTTTATTACCTTATGTGAATGCACCAGATATTTCATCATTCTTCCCCACTCCAAGTGACAACCGACCAATGAATTCTGCAGCTCCTTCTGAGGCAGAAGCATCTGCACCTGCACCAAGTTCAGGTGAATTTGATGGGAAGAAGTCTTCTAGTTCAGTTAGGTTGGATTTTACAGCTGCCATATTTGTTGGTATCCTGCTCTCTAGTTTCTTGATAAGTAGCATAGTTATTGTTTGAGCATATGTGTCATTTTCACCCACTAGAGCAAGTGTTGTTCCTTTATATTAATCAATGTTCAGTAATTTGCTTTGTTGCTTGTTTAATATACATAATATATAAGTTTTGCTGAATTCAGCAATTCTCCTCTGTATTTGTAATTCTAATAATTTTTGTTCCATATTTCGTTGGATTTGAGTCTTTAAAAGTCAGGGAAATGCAAGGAAAAATTATCTGCACCAATCCATTATAACTATGCACCAATCCATTATAACTACGTACTGGAGCCATAGTTGGAATATTAAAATTGTTTTTTTTTTCTCTCCTCAGACATTGTTAGCTGACATTGTGAAAAGAGAAAAAATAATTTTGTCATTATAACTATGTATTACCCGTAGCATATAATTATAATAGGTTGCTACAGATAACTTTTTTTCCAACAATATAAAAAAATAGAACCGATGAATCTGGCTATGGCAAATTGAAAACATCTGTTTACTGTACAATTCAGATCAGATTTGTTTTGAAACGCTGTAATCATTGAGTACTTTATAACAGTTGAAGATTCTATTAAAATTCATTAAAAAGTAGGAGTAATATTTATCAAGAAAATGATGAGCTACTTCTTTTAGCGAAAGTACATTGTCAATGAATTTTTCCATTTATTTGTACATCCAGCTGACAAATGGATTTAATTGTTTTATTTTGAAAACTGGAAATATCGTAACAAAATGTAGATTCAGGGAAGATAAGAGGTGTGAAAGTGTAATGCAACAAAACAAAAGGCTAATAGGTTTATTTAAATAATCATTTTTTATTTTTTCAAAATTTTGTTATTAAGTGTTGCTTCGATTTGGATAAAGTAAAAGCCTTCACCTGGGAAATAAATATAGAATGTTGTTGTGGAGGTGTATGCGTACAATGACAGATCGAAACTAAGGTTCTCTCTCGTAAAAGTTTAAGATCCCATGTGGTAGTTCCTGAAAGTGTGATCATGAAATATATCTTTCCATATGTCTCATTTTAACATAATATAATCATGTCTCAAACCCAACAAGTTATTGACTTGGTCGGCTCCTAGGTCAATGAATTATCGATTCAATTAGTGGGTTACTGATTCAATCACATAATTAAATAAATATAATAAATATTGTTCAATATGAACATCAACATGGGATAAGTGTTTTGTAATCCAATGCTATGTTTCCTAATGGATTTGAGGCTTTGGTATTAGAGGAATGTGATGAGACTCAAATGAAAGTAAAATAGCCTTGAAGGCCGTAGCATGTGAGAGGGAAAAACAAAATTTTTCATATGCGGAATTACACATGCAATCAAGAATCATGCTTTATGGCATGTGATGTTACCTTTGTTTGTAAGTTCAAAACTCCAAGACGATTAGTGTTAGGTTTGAAGGGTTCAAACCCTCTAACGTTGATCCACACCACCCACGTCAAGATGCAAGAACGCTTTCTTGAAAGCCACCAATTGACCACCACAGAGAGGCTTGCTATGCGCTCAATAGGTGAAGAAGGAGGCTAGGTATATGTGTTTAGAAGAGTGAAGTCTCCAGCATGAAAACTTCACAAGAGTGGGAATGGTATATAGAAGAATTGGCTAGGTTCTTTTGAAAAACCTTAAGGAGGAACTCACCAACTAGGCGCACAAGAGAGGGAGAGAATTAGTGTATCGAATCAGAATTTTTACTTTACTTATAATGAAAGTGGCGCACAAGTGAGTGAGACACAGGTGGAGTTGTTGCAATTCAAAAATCCCAACAACCCCCCCTTTGAATCCTCATAAGACTAGGTCTTTATCTAGTCAAAATTCTGAACCAATGGTCATCATATGACCACCAATTCATGTGCCCCTATTCAGCCCAAAAAGGGACCAAATACATTTGAGCTGTTGCATTCAAGTTTGAACCAACTAGCTCACTGATTCTCTCAACAACCAAATCTGATTGGAGCTTGTTGGTTTGACAAGATGACAATCATCTCCCACCAAAATGGTGCCCCAAATCAGCCCTTGGAGATCTCCATAGATCTTCTCTTGATACAAGGGATTTGTTCCAACAAGATCTCATCTTATCCTTTTGTTATGAAACAACTTTTCATAGCCAATTCAAATTCGAATTCAAACGTTCAAACATTTAAATTCTAAATTCAAATTCAAATTCAAATTTCAAATTCAAATTTCAAATTCAAAATTCAAATTTCAAAATTCAAATTTCAAATCCAAAATTCAAATTTCAAATTCAAATTTCAAATTCAAAATTCAAATTTCAAAATTCAAATTCAAATTTCAAAATTCAAAATTCAAAATTCAAAATTTAAATATTTGATAATTAATTTACCTAATTAAATTAATTAGTAATGTCTTGGACCATCCAAACCCATTAATTAGTAATATCACCCTAGCCCTGTGCTCTTTCAGGACAAGCCCAACAGTATACCTATGAGTCTACATGCTTCAGGCAGACGAGGTATACAGTCGAAGCATGCCTTCTAGAACACAGTCTAGGTAATAACTTCTGGTCTAAGGAAAGACATACCCAAATATAAAGAGACTACTCTAATGATAGTCTCTGTGAGATTTCCTCATAGAGTCTCTTTTGTGGGTCTGTTCAGTGCGAGCTATACCCTTATAGATCCACCCACGACTTTAGCTAAGACATCTCCATATCTGTAGCTCATGAGGTCTTTACCTTGCATCCAAATACAAGTAGATAAGTCGTGCTAGTCTTACCCGAGATCACTGATCCCCATTCTCAGTGTCTCTAGACTAGGAATATAAAATTAGGAATAAATATCCAGTATCCTTGAATCCTCATGATCGTGATCTCATCACAGATACTCAAGAGATACCTATTTTATTTCAAGGGGTTTATCCAGTTACTCATATAAAATATTAACAGTAATATTGAGACAAAATATAAAGCAGGATAAATAGTGCTTTTATTTATTTGCGACAATACAAAGGTCCAGATATGTCCTAATCTAATTAAAAGATTGTCTCTAGGACATCCATATACTAACAAGCTCCCACTTGGCTTAGAGCCAATCAGACCTAAGTTGTATACCCAAAGCCTCATAATAACTATCATGTTTTCTCTGAGAAACAACCTTTGTCAGAGAATCGACTAGGTTATCATCTGTAGGAATATAATCCATATTTACATCCATCCTATCAATGATTTCTCTAATCAGGTGATATCTGCGGAGCACGTGCTTAGATCTTTGATGAGACCTAGGTTTCTTTGACTGCACAATGGCTCCAGTGTTGTCGCAAAGCAACTGTATAGGCTCATCCACGCTTGGAACCACCCTAAGTTCAGATATGAACTTCTTGATCCACACGACCTCTTTAGCTACTTCTGAAGCAGCTATATATTCAGCTTCTGTCGTTGAATCTGCTGTTGTCTCCTGCTTGGAACTCTTCCAAGATACTGCCCCACCATTTAATGTGAATACGAACCCTGACTGTGACTTGCAGTCATCTTTGTCCCTCTGAAAGCTGGTGTCAGTGAACTCTTTCACTGTTAGCTCATCAACCCCACCAAAGACCATAAATGCATCCTTAGTTCTTCTTAAGTATTTAAGGATGGTCTTGACTGCTGTCCAGTGACCCTCTCTAGGGTCCGACTGGTATCTGCTCGTAATGCTCAAAGCATATGAGACATCTGGTTTCGTACATATCATGGCATACATGATGGATCCAATAGCCGAAGCGTATGAAATTCCACTCATGCAATCCTTCTCAGGCTGTGACTTAGGACACATAGCCTTTGAAAGATGTACCCCATGACTGACGGGAAGAAAACCCCTTTTCGACCCTTCCATGCTAAACCTCTTTAGCATCTTGTCAACATACGTGGATTGAGATAAACCCAACAGCCTCTTGGATCTATCTCTATAGATCTTTATACCAAGTATAAAGGCCGTTTCTCCCAAATCCTTCATGGTGAAGCTTTTTGAAAGCCACTCTTTCGTTATTTGTAATGTGGGGATGTCATTTCCTATTAACAATATGTCATCTACATAAAGTACCTGGAAGACGGCATTACTCCCACTAACCTTCTTGTAAACACAAGGTTCATCCTCGTTCTTGATAAAATCGTTACTCTTAACGACTTCATCAAAACGAATATTCCAACTCCTTGATGTTTGTTTTAGCCCATATATCGACCTTTGAAGTTTGCATACCATATGCTCCTGATCTTTGATTTCAAAGCCCTCAGGTTGTGTCATGTACACTTCCTCCTTCAAGAACCCATTCAAGAAGGCGGTCTTGACATCCATTTGCCAAATTTCATAGTCGTGATATGCCGCTATTGCAAGCATGATCCTAAGAGATTTGATCATGGCAACAGGCGAGAAAGTCTATTCATAGTCAACTCTTTGTCTTTGACGATACCCATTCGCAACCAACCTAGCTTTGTAGGTCTGAACGTTGCCATATGCATCAGTCTTTCTTTTAAAGACCCATTTGTTAGCGATAGGAACTATTCCTTGCGGTTTAGGAACCAAGGTCCATACCTTGTTTTGATACATCGAATCCATTTCAAATTCCATGGCTTCAAGCCATCTAGAAGAGTCAACATCCTTGACTGCCTCTTCGTAGTTACTTGGTTCATCATCCTCGACGGTTTGTTGATTCTCAATCACAAACCCATACCTCTCAGGTGGATGGATGACCCTCGTTGACCTACGGAGTTGTGTGTTTACTTCTCCATTGGAGAAAGTCGCCTGCGGAGCAGACTCGGGTTCCTCAATCTGTTCATGTGGTTCTTGAACTTCTTCAAGATCAATCTTACTCCCACTGGCTCCTTGAGAGATCAAATCCTTCTCAAGGAACTCAACATTCTTTGACACAAACACCTTGTGTTCATCCTTGGAGTAAAAGTAGTATCCCTTAGTACCTTTGGGATACCCCACAAATAGACATTTAGTACTCTTAGCACTAAGCTTGTCTGATGCCAACGCTTTGACATAAGCTGGCGGTCCCCATACCCTGAGGTA